GACCTGTAGACGTCAAAGCAGGCAGTGTAGAAGCTTGAGCCAATGGCCTCTTCTTGTAAACTTGTTGAATAGGTGACTTAGGATGTACAGATTGAGAAACCTGTGGAGAAGAATTACAAAGAGGAACAGGAAGAGGAATATCACATATTGAAGAATGAGAACAATCATTGGGAGGAAAATATGGAGTTGATTCATKAAAAGTGACATCTGCACTAACAAAGTGACAACGTAGAGATGGGCTATAGCATTTATAACCTTTTTGAGTTTTGGAGTATCCCAAGAAAACACACTTAACTACACGTGGTTCAAGCTTATTTTGCTGGTGTTCAAAAAGATGAACCAAGGAAACACATCCAAATAGTCGTGTAGGTAATGGAAACAAAGGAACATTAGGGAATAAAACAGAATGAGGGGCCTGATTATGTAAAATTGATGAGGGCGTCCGATTAATAAGACAAGCAGTAAGCACAATATCACTCCAATAAGTTTTGTGAACATTATCTGAATGAGAAGTGCTCGAGTCACTTCTAAGAAATGGCAGTTCTTGTGTTCAGCAACACCATTTTGTTGAGGTGTACTAACACAAGAAGTTTGATGTCGAATGCCATGTTCATTATAGAAATTAGTGAAGGGAGAAGACATGTATTCCTTTGCATTATCAGATTGAACAACACAAATATTGAGGCCAAACTGAGTTTTTATTTCCATAAAGAAAGATTTGAATACAAAAATCTGACCTTTTCTTTAACAAAAATAACCAAGTAACTCGAGAGAAATCATCAACAAAAGTAACAAAATACTTAAACCCCAAATATGACACAATAGGACATGGATCCCAAACATCTGAATGAACTAACTGAAAAGGTCTAGACACATGACTGATGGCATGAGGAGGAAAAGTATCCCGGTGATGCTTGCTAAGATGACATGTATCACACTCGAGGCTAATGTTGGCTGGTATTGAAGGAAACAAAAGACAAAGACTCAGCAAGGAAGGATGGCCCAGTTAGCAGTGTAGCTGCAAAGGTGACACATCAGAAGATGATGATTGAAGAGCAGTATTCTCTAAGCCACCCTCTAGATAGTAGAGACCACCAGACTCATGTCCTCCACCAATCTGCTTCTTCCTCTTGAAGTCCTGAAACACACAATAGGAAGGAAATAAGGTGACAGAGCAATTTAGTGCCTTGGTCAGTTTACTCACAAACATAAGATTAAAAGGAAATTGAGGAATATAAAGTACAGATGATAAAGGAAGTTGTGGAGTTGGATTGATACTTCCAATTCCAGAAACTGGGGATGTGCATCCATTGGCAAGGGTAACATGTTGTGTAGAAGAAGGTAAAGAACGAAACTAGGTAAAAGTAGATGGAGTACTTGTTATGTGGTCGGTAGCTCCTGAGTCAATGACCCATGCAGATGTGGTAGAAAGAAGGCAAATGGAGCCAATACCTGATGTCTGAGCAAGAGTAGTAGTGGATGAAGATGTAGTTGCAACCAATCTATTATACTCTTCCTTTGAGATAGTCATAGTTTCTCCTTCTGGTTGATTATCTATAGCAATAGTCTGTAAAGATGTATTAGTCATTCCATCATGATAAGTGGTTTGATTTGCATAACTCCCCATTTTCTTTAACAAATGACAATACTCAACTCTATGGCCCTCACAATGGCAGTGTGAACAACATCGAACTCCATATAAGTCTACAATATCCAATGGTGTGACCTTCTAACCCACAATGAGTGCAAAATCTAGTAGTTGTGTTCCTTCCACAACCACAACCACCTCTACCTCCAATATCATCTCTCCCACCATATGGTTCAGATGGGCCACGTCCACCACTTCCACGTCTTCCACCATGTACACCTCGACCACCACTTCCAGAAGTAACAAGAGCAGCACGATCATATAAAGGAGTAGATTCAGATAACCTAGCCCTCTGAAGTCTAGAGAACACATCCTCTAAATCAGGTAATTCTGGACTCCCAAGTATTTGGGCTCGTACCGATTCATATTCAGGTTTGATGCCTGAGAAATTTAGCAACATATTACCCTTTCCTCTGCTTTTCCATAACTTTAATTTCACCAGTGACAGGATGGTAAATATTTAATTCTTCACAAAGATTCACCATGTCAGAATAATAGTCTTCAAGAGACTTATCTCCTCTCTGTAAACTAAAAAATGATTGAAACAACTGATATATTTGGGTGATATTATTGCTACCTGAATACATCCTCTTCACTTGATCCCAAATCTGTTTAGATGTATCCAGAAAAATAAGTGTGCTACTGTGCTGATGATTTTGGTCTCCATTCAGTCCCTGGCTTCTTATCAGTAAGATACTTAAGTTTTCCATTGGCTGTGAGAGGAACTTCTACAGATTTAGCCCAAATAGCATAGTCTCCACTTCCATTCAACTTAATGGTGGTTAACATAAAGTTTGTAGGTATCATAACAGTTTCCTTGGATTCCATTGTGTCTCGCTTAACCTCAATCAAAGTTACACACACTTCCAAAGGTTATCTCGACCTAACAAAACTTGTGAAAGCAAATAGGGGATGAAAATACCAACCTTGTCACTCTCACGATTATAAAAAAAACAGCACCTTTCACTTCATGATTTGAAATACTTGTCTTGGCATCACTATTCAATCACCTCACAACTTGTACACAGTCCAGATTCAGTGTTTTTCATAGAAATGATGGATTCCCTCTTGGTTTGAGTCCACTAGAGGGTAACACAACTTGTACACAGTCCAGATTCTGTGCTTTTCATAGAAACAATGGATTCCCTCTTGGTTTGAGTCCACTAGAGGGTCACACACATCACCAGTCACTTTTCATAGCAGCTATGATGGTATAAACCATCACAAATCACCTAGAAATCTATCTGGGTTTGACTTCAATCACCAACAGTAGTTGCAGCACACTTAGAAGAGAAAAAGAAATCAACCGATTAGGGAGGAAAGAAGAAAAGCATCCCTAATCACTTCACCTGCTTTGGTACCATGAAAAACATGGTAATCACTGTCAATCAATAATGAGGCAGCAACCAGAAATAAAATAAAGAAACAAGGAGAAAGTAGAGAACGAAGAGGAAGAGAAAGAGAAAGGAGAAGACTGAGAGAAGAGAACTAGGTCAAAACTGATTAGAGAATAGTTTAGAAGTCACTAATCCTCTAAACCAGTCGGCCCACTACTTATATTAGTGTAAATAAAAGGTGTTTGCAAAAATACCCCTGTTTATGATAAATTCTGGACAGGAATTCCCTTAATAAAAGAAAGGAAATACTAAGCTATCCTACTGCCCCAAATACAAGAAATCTATTCCCCTCAACAAAAGAAAATAGGCAGAAAGACTCCTGCCATCCAAAGATAAGTACCTGGATTTCCATGTGGCTAGTGTTTTCTCCAACTTTCCCAATATTAGTTGCCAYATAGCAGGCTAATGTTCCTGGAACATCTAAATAAGTAAAAGCAGAATTTCCAACTTGGCAGCCTAATGCACCAGCCAAATCTTAAAGTTAAGCTCCATCTAAGTCTCCTGCTCCAAGTCATAACACTTTTTTGAAAGTTTATCTTCAAACCCACAATACTTCAAAGTTCTTTAGGAAGTCCATTTTCCCCAATCTTTAAAGCCTTCAATGAAGGTTATCCTTATTTCACCATCACACTTGGAACCTCCATTACCAATGTATACAATAATGGTGATAGGAAATCCCCTTGTCTAATTCCCTGGGAAGCTTGGAAGAATTCCATAGATGAATTGTTCACCAAAATAGAAAAGGATGATGAAGCTAAACATGAAAACACCATCCTCTCCATTGTCATCAAAACTAATTATTCTTGTAACATTTTCTCAAGAAACTCAATCCATCTGTACACAATCATAAGGGGGAGGTATTGGTCATTTACTCAAGGACCGATTGGACAAAAGAACTCCATAGAAGATGAACTAATGGATGTACTTCAAGGACTAAAGCCGGTTAGGAAACTTGGGGGTGCAAAAACTTAATGGTGGAGGGGGACTTGATTACAATAGGGCAGATGAGTCAAACAGGTTTAGTGCAATGGAAGCAAAGACCACTTGTAAGAGAGGAAGAAAACATTGCAAGGGAGCTAAGTTCTACCTTCAATTGGATTCAAAGAACAGCCATTGGCATGACTATCCCCCTCACCAGACAAGGAACTAGCAGAAATCAATTGTTTTGGGTCAACAATGCTAGAGAGCCAGAATGGTGTTTGTAATGTAAAGAAAGGATAAATGAGAAGCAAATGAGAATGTAAAGGACTAAAAGGGGTGTGGGTAATGCCTATAAAAACAGCTTTGTACATTTTATCTTTCTTTTACCACAATTAATAGAAGTTTTCCAACTGTACTTGATCATATGTTTTACATATCAATCCCAATTCACCACTTTTAAGTGTTCCTTCAACATACTCACTTCCAATGAGCACATATCAAGAATTTGTCTCCCTTTCATAAGCACCATTTGAGTAATGCCTACCACTTCTTGCATAACAATTTTGAGCCTTTCTAGGGAACACATTGACAGATATCTTATAGGGGTTAGAGATAAGACTGATAGGACAAATGCCTTTCAGATTACCTTCCTTTCTCTTTCTCAAGATTAATGTAATAAAAGTAGCATTAGAACCTCTATCCAGCAAACCCAAGTAAAAAATCTGCTAAACATCCTCAGATGTCCTTTTTAACAGTTTGCGACATTAGCTTAAAAAGCATTATTAAATTCATCTGGCCCCGGTGCTTTATCTTCATTCATCAATTTTACTGCCTATTAATCTCTTCCATACTGAAGTTTCTTTCAAGTGCAGCTGCTTTCTGTTTGATAAGGCACATGAGTGGTATATTTCCAATTGCAAAGTGTCTCCATGGCATAACATTAATTCTTATCAAATCTTCTAATATCTAATATCAAATTTTGATTGACTATTTTGAATTTAAATGTTCCTGTTGTGATGTTTAAATTTCTGCAGTTTATTGTGAATCTTGTATAGCCACTAATGTGGATGACACACTTAAATGCCAAATTTGCCAAAGTCTGCATCCAAAGGGATGTCCAAAAGTATGTTTGGAGCTTCATAATATTTTGGAGAAACAATTCTCTGTAGAATATGCATTGAGAAGAGAGGCAGTCCAGCACAAGCAAGTCCTTTGTCGAAGTGGGAATCCATCAATTGGTATGCTTCAATTTGCTAAGAAGTGTTTCTCGTACTTGTTTGATTATATTGAATAATATTTTAGGACTAAAATATAACTATAGAGAAGAGTAGAGAAAAAGATTAGAGAATTAGAGAGAGGAGAATATTACTATGATTTACACAAGAAATGACTATACTACCTTGTTGAGGGGAACCCTGTGTAAGCTTATTATATATATTGATTATGCCCAACTTCTCTAGAAAACACTCTTGCTTCTAAGAAAGCATTCAATTTTTTAAATATTCTCTTTCCATTATCTGATCTAAAAATCTTGATTGACCTTATATTATTGTGTAAGAATCATCTCAAAGCTCTTAACAAGAATAGGAACCCCATCTCTTGAAGTCTTGATTAAAAATATACAACACATGTCTTGTACAAACATCTACAAAAGTGATAAAATACTGAATGCTACCATATCAGAAATAGGGAAGGTTCTACACACATCAGAATGAACAATATCAAAAGGAAATAAACTTCTTTTATTACTTGGATAAGAAGATGTTCTAAAATGCTTAGAGTATTGACAAATTTCACACTACAGACTAGACATATACACAAACACAAAAAACTCAGGAAACAAGACTTTCAATGGTTGAAAATTAAGATGTCCTAGTCTAGAATGCAACAAATAGATTCTAGACCTATTAGTACTCTTAACTAGATGACTACAAAGTAGGTAGATGTAATAAAGAATCCAGAAAATAGAGACTTTCAGCTTCAAGACCATGTCCAATCATTCTCCCTAAAGACATGAATTAGGGTACTAAGTTACTCTACAATTGGAATTTTTTGTAATATGACTGATGGAAAAGTAAAGATTAGMATCCAAATGAATATCTCTCTTCCCAAAGATAGAAGAGAGAGGTCCATCTGCAACGCTAACCTTTTCCCTGAAAGGGGTTGATGGGATGAAAAGAGGTTGGAAGTACCAATCATATGGTCTGAAGCTCCTTAATCAATGACCTAGGAAGCATTTGGGGCATGTCTGGAAGAAAGGTTACTTGAGTGAACAAATGAAGAGGTAGAAATACCTCCCAAAGGAGAGGCTACATTGCTATTGGCTTCAAGATGGACAAAGAGACAACTCAGTAAAGTTAACTCTTCACTAGCAGAGTAGAGATTTACCTGAGGAGAATTCCTAGTAGTAGTAGTTGGCTATTTAGAAGAAGCAATTGAAAGGGATTTCTAAGATGTCACTGCATTATGAGTACTCCGTTTCTGGGGTTGTTTTTCCTTCTTGAACCAAGAGGATAACCATGCAACTTGGAATATACCACACAAAATGGTCTTTCACCTTCTTACTCATCACATGCTTTTTAGTAGAGGATTTGTTTCCACTTGTAGAAATGAGAGCAGAATGTTCTAATTCAGTCTTCATCACAACCCTTCTAGAAGCCTCCTGTTGAATAACAGGGTATACTTCATCAATAGGAGGAATATCACTGCATCCCAACAACTGCATTGTAACAATCTCAAAGTTGGATTCATCCCTAACAGGAATTTAAACACTCAAATTTTATTTTTTAATGTTAGAGTTGGCCGAGTAGGGGTAACTTAGTCTTTTTCATTCTACTTTAAATGGTGACTTGGCAATACTGTTTTATTTTTAGTTTCTTGTCCCATACTTAAGTAGGGGCATATTTGACTTTGTACCCTTAATGAATATAATAGAAGGTTATGGTCGACTAGGAGGGTTAAGACTTTCTAGTTCGACAGATTTCTCCTTTCTCCTCCTCTCTTCTCTCTATCTCTGAACAGAACTTGTCTGAACCATCAAAACATTTAAGAATATCATATTGTGTGGCATCCTCATCAATTTCCAGTGGATTGTCCTTTGGTAATCGAGTTCTTCCCCTATGGCTTGTAAGGCAGCATAGTATGTAGGTATGCTCGCCTCCCCTTGCTTAAGATTAGCTATATCTTGACTAAGTTGAAAAATCTTATCTCTGTTTCTCCTCTGAGAATAAGTTTAATTCACCTTCTCCCAGATTTAAGCAACTGTTTTGAGAATCATGAGACCCCTACTGATTTGGGGTGTTGAGTTCCATAACCATGATATAATAATCATATTCTCCTGTTCCTACATATCCAACAATGGATCATCTTCAGTCGGCCTCTTCATCTTCCTAGTCAAGTACCCGAGCTTACCTCTACTGCCAATATAGACCTTCACAGATTGGGACCATTCGAGAAAATTAGTTATATCAAGTTTAATTGTTATCATCTGTAAGTTTGAGTGCTCCCCAAGATTAGTGATAGATTGCATGGCAGATGAAGTGTTGATAGATTATGAAGAAGAGAACTCTTGAGCCATCTGCAATCAACTTCCAACCAGTTCACATCAAGGAAACCAGGTCCAAAAGACGAAGCCAAGAAATAAGTCAAAACAGTCCCTAAAAGACAAACGACTGAAATGGTGGCAACATATAGATCGAGAAATAATCACCAATTATCCATTCATCCACCAAAAAAGACACTTAAAGTTGTAGAGAAATAATAACCCCATATTTGCTAATGTTGCTCATTCATTCGTCCTAATAAGAGATATTTTTAGAAGACACTTAAAGTTTTGAAACCTTTCTCTTTTATAGGGATTTAGAATTTATGACCCTAATATGCAGATTTGGTTTTCCAAATCAAACAATATTTATATCTATAGAAGTGATTTCAAGCAAAGAGAGGGGGATAAGGGGGATTCAATGTTTGCTATATATTCATGGCATCTTCCATTATTGTTGAATAATCCATTAGTTATAAAAATTATTAAAAATTTCTGGAAAATATTCTACCAAAAATTATGAAATAATTATTTCAGAAATAATCCATTACTTAATAAATATTAAATAATTTAATAATCTACCAAACATTAATAAACAATCCATTATTTAATAATTTTTGGTTGTTAATAAATGTTCAAAATTTCAATGTTTAGTGAAATTTACATTAATCATTGTAATTTAATAAATTTTCATTAAATTTTTATAATAATAATTTATTTGAAAAAGATATTACTAATTAGTGTAATTTAATAAAATTATGAAATAATTATTTCAGAAATAATCCATTACTTAATAAATATTAAATAATTTAATAATCTACCAAACATTAATAAAAAATCCATTATTTAATAATTTTTGGTTGTTAATAAATGTTCAAAATTTCAATGTTTAGTGAAATTTACATTAATCATTGTAATTTAATAAATTTTCGTTAAATTTTTACAATAATAATTTATTTGATAAAAGATATTACTAATTAGTGTAATTTACTAATTTCTATAAAATCAATAATTATAGCTAACAATTATCAATTAATTTAGGGAAACTCTTTAACTAATAATCCATAATTATTTTTTAAGTAAGCAATTAAAAAAATTAAGAAATTAATCTATGAAAAAAATATTCTCCAAAACTATTTAAATAATAATCCGTATTATTATTCAACTAAATAATTATTAAGAAATATAGGAAAATTAAATTAGGAAATTAATCTATCAGAAATAGTTTCAAAATTATTTAAATAACAATCCATTATTATTATTTCAATAAATAATTATTAAATAATTTAGGAAAATTATTAGTATTGTAGGGATGGCAATTTCCCCTGTAAAACTAGGGCCTTAACTTGTACTGCCCTGAATGGGGCAAGTTTTCTCAAATCTTAAACAGGGATGGGGTAGATACAGGGGGACAAGGAAAATATTTTTGCCCCAACTAGGGATGGGCTTTGCATATAATTCAATAAACCTGATGGTAAATTAATAAAATACCCATAGATTTAATATTGACTTTTAAAAATTCTCTAAGTTTTTCTTATATTCTTATAATCCTAGGATCCCATAATTTCATTTATAAAATACCCCCAAATTGTCATAATCCAATTCATAAAATACCCCTAAATTCCCATAACCCTATTTGTAAAATATCCATAAATTATATTTTTTTAGTTGGTTTGGTTGCCTCAGGGTGGGGAAAATTAAATTTTGGGATTCCCCATCCTTGATGGGGAATGGGTGCTTCATGCCGAACTCACCTGCCACTGGGGTCATGGTAGTGATGGAATAGAGTGTCTTGACTTACGGGGGCAAGGGACAAGGAGTGGTGCCCCATCTCGTGCATCACACGAGCCTTCACTTGTTTATGGATATTTTACAAATAAGATTATGGGAATTTGGGAGTATTTTAGGAATTGGGTTATGACAATTTGGGGGTATTTTATAAATGAAATTATGGGATCCTAGGATTATAAGAATATGAGGAAAACTTAAAGATATTTTAAAAATCAATATTAAATCTACGGATATTTTAGTAATTTACCATCGGGTTTGGGGAATTATATGCAAACCCCATCCCTAATTTGGGGCAAAAATATTTTCCTTGTCTCACCCTGTCTCTGCCCCGTCCCCATTTAAGATTTGAGAAAACTTGCCCCGTTCGGGGTAGGGCAATGTAGGGCCCTAGTTTTACGGGGAAAATTTCCATCCCTACAATTCTAATAATTTCCTATAACTAATTAACTAATAGTAAATTAAATAACAATAAATTACAATATTTTATGATAATTTCCAAAAAATTTATTGAAGTTTCTATTGATTAGTTGTAATGTATAGTAAATTAATTATTTACAATAACAATAAACTAATGTAAATTATTTACTTTTTAAGCCTAAATTATTTACTATTAATCAAAGTAAATGTAATTATAGTAAATTAATGTAATTATGTTAAATTACATTATTTGTAATTAAAAGTAAACCATTTGTTGTTAGTTAATGTAAAACTAGGTATGGTCAAAGTCAACCAAGTGGTCTAGATCGGTATGGATAGGCTTAATAATTTTCCTAAATCATTTAATAATTATTTATTGAAATAATATTAATGGATTGTCATTTAAATAATTATGAAACAATTTCTGATAGATTTAAATAGTTTTGGAGAATATTTTTTTCATAGATTAATTTCTTAATTTTTAATTAC